CTGTTACTAATCTAAACAAAATCAAGAGCAGTCCCCGTTCTACTGGATTCTCTAGATAGTTTGCTAAAAAGTTAGCTCTTGATGGAAGTTAAAAACACAGCGTATGCATGATGGCCTAATGTTAAGCTTATCCAGACCATACTCTGAAAACTGAAAACTCTTGTTACTATCGAGCTTCTCAGCTGTATAGCCACTACAGTACACTTCAGTACTGCAGTACTGTGTCCACTCTGTCAGCTCGTTCAGAGCTCTTGCCAGGCTTCTCCTATTCAGATATGGAACCATTTGTAATTACATTTTATGGTTTAGCCTGATAAATTTAACTTATTTGACTAGTTAGCATATAGAGCCCAATAGACCAATCTATCGTCTCTCTATCAGCAAAGCACTAACATTTCATCATCTCTATTATCATCTGTACGCTGCCATTTTGGTGTCACTTTGAAAGAAGGAAAAGGGACACATGCAGGCCCACTTCCAGAAACACTGACATACCTGAAGAATTCCTGTTGCAATTCACACTTACCACTCTTCTGAATAATCATTATCTTCAAGGTACCAGGGAAACAGAGCAGTATGAGGCAAAAATGTACCTAGATACTGAATCAAAACTAGTGTGGGCTCCTTCTCAACAGAGAACCAAGTGGCATTTGACAAGGACTGACCAACAGAATGGCCTGTGGTTATTCAAGATTTCTGTGCCAAGAGAAGCTGTGTCAGGAAGGGAATGCACTAAGGAGCAGAAGGACACTATGGAAGTATATGAAGTCCTTTAATCTCTTGTATACACTGGAGAATTTTGTAATACTCACATTAACTTCCTCTGAGGAGGGAGAGTCTGCTGTTACTGCTGTGGAGAAGATAAAGAGGGATGCTTTCTGGACACAATGCCAGTAGATACTGACTTGGGTTTGACAGCTGAGAAGACCTCTGTGTTGGCTGAAACTCACTTCTCTCCCTTTTGTGAGGCCTCTATTTGGATCACCTTATCTCTGCATCAAGTATGATGTGACTCAAGGCTCAGCAGAATCCAATGGCTACACTGCAGTATCTACTGAGTATTCATTATTATTTATTTGTAATACAACAAATCCTAGAAGGCTACAGCCTGGATCACTTCTCGTTATGCTGAATAAGCATACAACAAAAAGTCTACATGCTTGAATTCTACGTAGAGACAACAGAGATTACTGCAGAGTACAAAGGCAAAGTATTACTGTGACAAGCATTGGTATTAGTATACTTGTACAACACACTTATTTTCTAGTTGGATTGTCATAAATTTCATAGTACATAAAGCTTCTAAGAAGATATTAAAGGAAGACAGCAAACAGTTCTGTTCATGGAGGAGTCAATCAGTACATGAGAGGCAGCTGAGGAGAAAGTATCCAGTGTGAAAATTTAACAACTGAATGATGGAAGCTGGCATCATATGTTGATCAAGATTAGTCAACCTCTTGATATTGAAGGAAAAGTATCAGGTAGAAGTAGTCTTGATGGGCCTTGAAAACAAAGACAGATAGCTTATCTTTACTGCTTTAAATTGAAGGAGGAAGTTTAAAAAGCAAAGGAATAAATTTGGAAACTGATATTTACAGCAGCACTTGGGACACGTAATGACAAGACTACATTTGTCAAGGCAAAAGAAGATTTTCTAATAAAGATATGATCCACTGAAAACCTGGATGAAAAATACAAGCAACCAGCAGAAAAGAAAGAGCATCCCTGAAGGGTTGGAAAAAGATTTTGAAATCTAAGATTTAGCCTTGATTTGATGACTTAAAGCAAACAACAGCATGATGGTGTCATTTACTGAGGATGCAGAGAGTTTTGTGAGGACTCCAACCTAAATACAAAAAAATTACTAACAAAAGTTGTAACTGGAAATAAAGAACTGAGGACAACACTGAAGAAAATTTTCATGCATTAGATCTGCTTAGGAGTAGAAAAGAAGATGGGAGGAGGTATATGAAGTGACACAGAAAACACTGTTCTTCCTGTACTATGAAATGAGAAGATTCTTTCACGCCACGTTTATTACTAGGCTATTACAGCTACCTGAGCTACCATGTTTTGACTTTCAAGGGTTGAAGAAGAATGATGTTCATGACATTGTAATTTGATGGGTGCCTCATTCAGCAAACAAAAACATGCTACATCCAGCTCAAAGACAGGACAGTGGTGATACAAGCCAGGCACAAACAGCAGTGGAGAAAAAGATCTTGCAGCGTAAAGTTAAAACAACTAACATGGTGAACATTCAGGCACATTCCTTTCCTCTTCCTTGTTATTGTATAGAACCAATGCTATCATTTCAGCTTGCCACCAAAGGAAAATTACTCTCCTTTGCTCTAGTTTGGTATTTCCAGCTCCTGAAGTATTCCCAAACCTACACAAAGTGTGCCCATGTAGCAAATGCCCACACCCTATATTCCACCAACATCAACAGAATCTCTTCATGTCTGCTTTCTTGCTGTTTCCTAGTTTTAGTTATTTACAACAGCACAGAATGGGTTGAACCAAAGAAACAAGCAGATTAAAGCTCAAGAAGCTCAACCACAGGGGTTAGCAGCCATGAGTACTGCGACCTACAGCAGGAGACAATTCAGAGTTCCTTTTCTTCCAAGCAGTATTCTATAGCAGCATTACCTTAAGCAGAACAGAGCCAAGCTCCTGCATTCTTTCTCTCAAAGCACAGGGAGTTGCTTTCTCAGGCAGGAGATGCAGTCAGATGTGTACGAGCTGCCCTCCATGGAGATGACTGAAAAACTTGGACACATGAAACATCCAGGGGACTCCTCATACCCCACTGACTAATATATCACCTTGCTTCTTTTTCTCTTCTGAAACTAGATCTTTTCTGAGGTACTTTTTTTTTTTTATCTGCTGTGGAGAGGGAACTCTTTGAAAGAGTAAATAAAAGCAGAACAAGGGGAAATGGTTTTCAGTTGAAGGAGGGAAGATTTAGGTTGGATGTCAGGGGGAAGTTCTTTACAGAGAGAGTTGTGAGGTGCTGGAACAGGCTGCCCAGAGAGGCTGTGGATGCCCCATCCCTGGAGGTGTTCAAGGCCAGGTTGGATGGGGCCCTGGGCAGCCTGGTCCAGTATTAAATGGGGAGGTTGGTGGCCCTGCATGTGGCAGGGGGGTTGGAGGTTCATGATTCTTGAGCTCCCTTCCAACCTGGGTCATTCTGTGATTCTGTGAACATAGGAGACTGGGTTTGGTTGTTGTGCAATCACCTGATCTCTCTCTCCTTTTCCTTCCTTTGCACAACTTAGGGGAAGTAAGAATAAATATGGCACATAGAACTAAAAGATGAGAATAGTTAACTATTAGAACTATGCATTAAAAAAAAAAAAATCAAGATTTTTGATGCAAAGTGAAATATTCAGTGTTCTCATTAATCAAAAGAAACATTCAATGTTCTCAAATAATGGTTTCATCTCATATTGAAAAATAACTCCATTTTGTGTGCAGAAATTATAAAAGAAGCACCAAACATCCCGTAACAAAAACAATCACACTGTGTTTTGAGCTCTCTTCCAGATGTTAAAACTTAAAAAGGTTATCAGTTTGAACAAGAAACTCGGTCTTCTGCTTAGCACTAGCCACATTTTAGCATATGTAGACCATTGACCTCTGTTCTTAGTTGCAGTTGTCATCTCAAATACTCTTTTTATACAGGTAATTCACAATCACTAACTCTCCAAAGCCCACACAACCTCTCCAAAAAAATTGCAGAGAACTGTAGAGAAAGACATTTGCTGAAAGTTTTAAATTAAATAGATAGGTAAATCAACCAGATACTTGATGAAATGAAAAGTACCAGTGGCTACACATTTCAGTTCTCCTTCTGCCACATATTCTTCTGTTCAGTTCCTTGTTTCTTTTTGTGTTTTGTTTGTTCGTTTCTTTGTTAATTGGACTCTCAATTTGTTTTTGATCTGTTAATAATTTCTTCTTTGGTCTTGCTCTTTCTTCAAATTCACTGCATGTTACTTTTGTGCCAAGCAAAAAAATAATTCTACAATCCCTTAATCTTTACTACCCAATCACTATTTGCATCTTTATTCTACATTGAGGAATCTCTAATTGGCCATGCCTACAAAACCTCTAGAGCTTTACACTTCATTAATAATTATTCACAAATTCAATACCAATTCTAGTTCTTCCATTTTCCAGACATAAGAATGCCTTCAGAACATTTTTGTACTTGAACACCAGAAAGGAAATACACCATCATAAAAAAGGGCATGGAGTTTATAATGCCATTAGCGTTACACAGGTAAAACACCTACACATAATTTTTGCTCACTGGATATAAAAATAGGAATCATAGCAATGCCTGTACCCATAGATACAAGAAAAAAACTTCCTCTTCAATATACAAGTATATTTATAGTTATTTTGGGTGAACCCACTGACAGAGGGTATGGATAATTATTACTGATTAAGCACGGGATGCTTAGTTAAAATAAAATATATAGTTCTTGCCTAAGAAGACTATAATTAATCAGCATGTGTGATCAAATTGCCACTCATAACATCAGATCAGTTTAGTTTAATTTAAGCAAGTTACTTTGACATGAACATAAGTATGTATTTATTAACATTTCAACGTTCAACTCAGCAAGACAATTATGTTAGTAAATCTGCTTGCAGTAGCTACCCAAATACTGGTGGTATAAACAGTTTTTATAGATCTATAAATTTGGAAAATTTTATGGGTGAAGATAGAGAGCAGGTCAGAAGCACATTGTTCTGAAAGCAAAGGAAATAAAGAAATTTAAACTCCCTACCTAACAGCAGTGCTCAAGGACTCCAGGCTCACGTGGTAAATTACCCAAGAATAATCATATCCCTAATGGATATATATTGTCTGTATGCTCTAAAAAGAACCAGGGTCGCACATAAATCACACCTCTTGATTAACCCTTTTATCATTATTAAGCTTGTCAACATCAGCAAAGACTAACTATTGAAAAATTCAATCATTTCAGTGTACTTACAGCTGAATTTTCTCATCATGTGACCAACTATCCACAAAGCCTCAGTGCCATTAAGAAGTTTTGAGGAATATATTATTTGGTACTGCCAAAAAAACATAATTAAAAGAATGCATGTAAATTATATTTATTTTCTAATTCAACACTTTTTTCTTTTTTCTTTTTAATGATTATTTCACGTCTAAAGTACAGTTGGGGGAAAAGCAGAACTTACATTATCCCAAAAGGCAGGTTCCAGCACAACCCATGATACACTGACAGAATTCACAGTAAGAAGGCACAGTGGGGTCACACAAACAGAACCCCGCACTACTGCAGAATCTCCTTAATTTCAATAGGGCCCTACCCACATATAATCAGTTACAGAGTCCGCCTATGTGGGAGTAACAACAGTGAGCACAGGACCCGTTCCTCCACACACCTGCAAAAATATTGGGATAAAAAAAAAAGAAATTCAAATTAGTAACACGCAGCAAAACCTTCTGATAGCCTGTTTTATTACAGCATTTAGCACATAATAAAGGAGTTCCATACATCTTTAAGTTGTACGTTATTTATAGGAATTTTTAGTTCCTTTTTTTTACAGAATGTTGACTTAAAATTGCTTACAGGCCTTACATGTAGCAGCAGCACATTATGGGAACTTTTACTGATATGCATTTGAAGGAGAAATTTAGATGTATTTTTGATTATTACTTTATAAAAAGCCATTGTCATAGTTGCTTCTTAGTGATTAAGTCTGCTTAAAATCAGCATACAGGGGAGACAGCATAGGTCAGTGAATTTCTGAGGTCTTCATGATCATGATCCCCCAGCATAGGAGGGATGTGGAGCTCTTGGATCAGGTCCAGGGGAGAGCCACTGAGATGAGGAGAGGGCTGGAGCACCTCTCCTGTGAAGAAAGGTTGAGGGAACTGGGCTTGTTTAGCTTGGAGAAGAGAAGGCTCTGGGGAGACCTTGTTGTGGCCTCATAGTACTTGAAGGGAGCATATAAACAGGAGAGGGAACGGCTGTTTATGAGGGTGGATTGTAATAGGACAAGGGAAAATGGTTTTAAACTGAGACAGGGGAGGTTTAGGTTAGATATTAGGAGGAAGTTTTTCACCCAGAGGGTGGTGACGCACTGGAACAGGTTGCCCAAGGAGGCTGTGGATGCCCCATCCCTGGAGGCATTCAAGGCCAGGCTGGATGTGGCTCTGGGCAGCCTGGTCTGGTGGTTGGTGACCCTGGACATAGCAGGGGGTTGAAACTGGATGAGCACTGTGGTCCTTTTCAACCCAGGCCATTCTATGATTCTGTGATTCTATGAAAACATCTGGCTACACATAGCAGCATTGAAGACTATACTATTTGAAAACACATGATAAACAGCAGTCAATTTTAGCAGACTAAAAGTGATCTTTTTTAAAGAAAAAATCCCTACAAAAATCAACTGCAATCATTTCCTAAATTTAAGTTCCTACGGAAAACTATTTAAAATGCAGGAAATACAAATGTAATGTTAAACAAATACATACCACCTCTTTGCCATTCACACAAAACTTAACATTTATGATTTGACCTCGCTGTTCTTATTAAAAATACATCTATGTTGATCTTTAAAAGGCATTTTATTTTCAGTTGCAGTGCTTTTCTATATCATAAAACATTTACAGACACATTAACCATGGTTTCCAAGAAATAATATTTAACTGGTGACACTGTGCAAGAGCACTGATGATAAAGGATATGAGAACTAGATCCTAGAAACATGCTGAAGACACTTCTTCATTCCTTTAATTTAGATACCATTAAAGAAACAACAATATTTAAAGCTAAGAACACATTAAAGGATCTGACACTCTAACAGAAGAATTAGGAGCTCCATAAAGATGGAATGCAGTCTTTTTTTCTTCTCTACTTTTGTTTTGTTTTGTTTTAGCAATCAGTTGTTCTCTTACTGGCTGTGATTTTGTCAAACAGCAGACTTGTAAACAAACAGAAAATGGAGAAGAGTATCACAGTTTTTTGTTCCTTGCCAGGCTTAAAGCTTTTAATTGGGCAGGAGGACAAGCAAAAATTTGAAATCCACATTTCAACATACAGGCATTACAACAAGTTTCAAGGCAGTTGTCTTAGAAGTTACTGAATTTGAAATGTTTCTTCTCCTTTTATTCTCTTTAAAACTTTTGGTTTATAGGCATGACTTAAAATGAAAAATTCAACTCTTTTTAAAGATCAGTGCTCCAGCTCTAAACTCTGTTCAAAAAGTGTCTTCAGATATAGAATCACAGAATCATAGAATGGTTTGGGTTGGAAGGGACCTTGAAGATCATGTAGTTCCAACCCTCTGCCATAGGCAGGGACACCTCCCTCTAGACCAGGTTGCTCAAAGCCCCATCCAGCCTGGCCTTGAATGCTTCTCCCATCTAATGTTACACAGAAAAAAATTACAAATACCAGACATCCATCACGTTAGCCTGCTTGAGCCTGCAAGTGTGAACCAACACGTGAGCCTACCTGAATGAAACTTGTACATCTGGCAAGTGTAATGGACCACTTCTTACTGACTGAGAATGAGCAGACTATACTTTTGGGGACAGTCAGTTCTCTAGGAGCCCATGACTACGAAGTTTGGGAAACACTGGCATTATCCAAGATGCAGTGCAATGTGGTAATTTATGCAGCCAGATCCTAATACTGCTTTCTGCCCCGCTGCCTAGCTCCACATCTTTCTCCAATAAGGAAGTTAACTGGAATACAATGCACTGCTCCTAGAGTGCAGATTGTAGGAGAGGTCAGGGACATATAGCTGCAGTCCAAATGACAGTCAGTTTCTGAGAAGAGCTAAAAACACTATTACAAATTTGACACATATCTCAGAGCTGACATTCAAACCATCAAAGGAACGAAATACTGAAAATGCCTCAACAATTCCCTTCTCTGACAAGGATAGGAAAAACACACATCTAACCTAGGTACAGACCACCATGAAGTTGAAGGATAGACGATTGGTTTGGGAGACTGGAAGAGACTGCAAAAACAAGGGTTTCTTTCATGACCAGCAAAGTAACAAAGTCTAGTTACTTCCTAATGTGCTTGCACATGCCCCAAAATACTCGTGGAGCAATCCCAAACTGACATTACCCTGGCTGGATTCCCACTCCCTCCTAAATAATTTCCCTAAATTTCTTCACAAAACACCAACTTCTCACTACTGGGAGCAACTCACACTGTGACTGTCAGACCAACCAGTGATGCTAATTTGCAAGGCAGCAGGTTGAATGGAATAGAAAATATCCATGCTGAAGCTTTTTCTGTCCTGGGGGCACAAATTTGAGTCATTTTTCTAATCTCATCCACTAAGTTTCATTGAAACTGTAGAAACTTGACCTTGTGACCTCTATCTCTGTATCAAATACAGCTCAAATGAAGCAGTGGATTGAAAGGTTACTGGGAAAAAACTCATTCCTATATATCTTGTTTTATTCAGAAAGTGGGAATGAAAACACAGTTGTATAACCATTGTGAAAATAGCTACGAATTTTATGTTATTTACTGTTTTCATTCAGGAGTCACACCACAAACTCAGCTATAACACAACACAGATTTTTACAGGGTGACAGTATGAAAGAATCCACAGAACAGAGACCGTTTCCATAAAACTGCCTTTGTTTTGTCCCTGTGCAAAGCACCCTAAATATATGTCAATTCATAAAGGTGAAATTTTAACAGAAATACAATTTTATACATATGTTTTGAACTTACCAAGAATGCAGCGGACTGCCCTCTGTGGAGATCCATGCTTCTCTTCCAATTCTGTGTTGTATCTCCCAAGGCTTAAGAAAAGTTCAGTGACACACAGCTTAGTAACAGAACACTGATATTAACTTTAAAGAATCAATCTACTCAGTGGGTTTTTCTGCTTTGTTTTTCAACGAGTAAGCATAATGGTTATTAAAGAATCACCTTAAAATCCTACTACTGCTACCTGGCTTCCTAATTATCTCAATTTAGAGAATAATTTGTAATAACAAGCAAGTCTCAGTTCCCTTTTTGAAAAATGCCACCCACTGTGCTCTTCATACCCTTTCTATTGCTCTAGAGACAAAGAATAGTCAGCATAGCAAAGTTAATAGAAAATCGGACATTACAGGACAGGTTAGAAGGAAACAATGTGAACAGGACCAGAAGTGAAAACGACTTAACAAAAAAGGGATGGAATAAAAGAAATAACGTTACTTTCTTAGCAGAGTAATAAAAATGGGATTTTCAGAACCATCCAACTTCTATTGAAGTAAAAGAATTACATCAATTCCAAATATGCTTTTAGAAAACCTTTAAGCCACTTATCTTTAAGCATTTAACTTTAAGCATATGGAGTATCTAAACTCTGCTCAGCTAAACAACTGAAGTGCTTAAATTTAAAAAACAAATGTAAATCATCTTGAAACCATTCACTCCATTTGTAATACCAAGCTTGCACACAGATCCGAGCCCCAACTCCTTACCCTGCTTACATGCTGACTCACACTTGGGCTGAATCCAGCCTATTGGTTCTCAGATAGGCAAACCCAAGTACAAAACGTGAGGGACTAAAGTGCATTCAGACTTCTCTCTTACAAGCTGGCCTCGTGCAAGTATGATGACTTAGGTACGTGATTAATTGTTTGGTGAAGCAGAGCGCTAATAATTAAATGCTTAAAGTTAATTCTGGAAATGGATTTTAAAAAGAAAACTAAAGAAAGTGTCCGAGAAAGAAAAAAAGAAACTGAAAATTAAATCAGGATTAAAAATAAATGACCTCTGGGTTATATCTCAGTGCACTCTGCCTGAAAACTGCTGCTTCTTTTTGGCTTAAGTATTAAATCTCATTTTTTAATATGCAAAATGGTAACTAACTTTGACAAAGGTTAAATTAGTTCAGTGTTTGATGACAGTACTGCGGTAATTCTTAACACAGAGTTAAGAAGTCATTCAGTTATTGGTATAAAGGGCTCACCATTTCTTCTGCCTTGTAAACACACCTGAGCTTCCAGTCCTGCTTTGGTAGAGAGCAGGGTGAGGGTTAATAGCCAATATTCCAATCTCTGTGGTAGCAATCATAAAGGGAGGAGGAAATGTGGAGATCGTAAGCTGCTAGTGGGGTTCTGCCCCTTTTACTCCTTACTCTACAATACAGTTAACTAGAGGAAAACATAAATTGAGCCACTGAAATCAAAACAGTGAACCAACAAAGTTCAGGGACATCTCTCAGCATCCTGTGAACTTCTGGTCATTGTGATCTGCCTCCTAAACTGCAGGTCATTGTATACACCGTTATTTTAAGCTGTCACCTCTCTAAACTACCAGGAAGCCAGTACCAGTGCTTAACAGTCACATTCTCATGTCCTCTCCCGCTACTAATATTCCACCCTTCACATACAGCTATAAAAAAGGAAATTCTCTCTTTTTAAAATGCATGCTTAATAATCCCATGTGTAAAAATCATTACTTAGTGTTGGTATGGAGCTAGAGCAAGGGTTGAAGACCTGACTAAGGCAGTGAGTTACTGATAGAATTAGTTCCTCTCTAGATTCAGTTCCCTTCTCACAAAATGGTTAAACACAATAACGTTTTGTTCCTTTTATGAGAATCATGAGCATTACTAAAATTTTATAAACGTTTTGAAGCTCAGATTTCAAAATTTCCCAGAAATTAGGAAACTAGAGAAGCAAATGAACAATTTACATCACGCTGTCTTAAAAGAAATGAATTGAACAGCATAAAAGCAAACAAATTAGTGCTAGCTAAAGCATTTCCAGACTTCTCACTCCTGTATAAATTTCAGTAGCTTTTCAATTAAATGCAGGAATACATATTTGCAAAGTCTGAGTTTCAGTCTTTCCAACAATTCTGCATATCCGAGCTGTGCTGCACTGATTGGTGGTGCTGATAGAAATTCTCCTATGGACACAGCTGAGCACATGCACAGGACTAAGGCTAAATCAAGTAAATAAATCAATAAAAAAATAGCTCATAAATTCAGTATATCTCTAACAATTATTTGGAAAAGTCCAGGATGGATAAGAAGATGATAAAGCTTGAGAAAGTAACAAGCGAAATAGCGGATGGGAAGGTGAGAAATCAGGTTCTGGCCCCAGCAATTACCCTACCAAAACCAATCTAACTTTAATACCAGTTAAATAACAGAATTGATACCAAGAAAAAAAAAAATAATAGAGCATCCCCTCAATAATTTATAGCCCTGAGAACCACACTTATTTTCTCACCATTTGATGAGTCCTCTTCATGTAAGGCCAAAGTTCGTGGGTGCTGTGGAGAAGATCACTTGGCAACTGCTCTGCTGTAATTAATCCATAAAGAATGGGCTTCAGTTTTCACAGATAACGAACCAGCACATTTCACAACCACTAACATGCAGAAGAATTTTTACAATGTTTAGAAGTTACAGCGAGGCCGATTTAGCAAAACTTCACCACAGAACCTAAGTTTAATAGCAAATGTTTCCCGAGGCCTCAAGGATCTGTTCTTTATGGGTCAGGCCTACGGCTGTGTTAGAGTCAATACTGTCAGGTCTTAAGGAAAGTATCGTAAGCCCAACCTTTGGATTATACCAGCTGCCTTTATGCTGTGTGAAGCATCTTAGACACTGGGGGGAAAAAAAAATATATAGGGAATTTAATAAAGCAGATGTACATCCTAATCTAGCACATACTTCCTACAGTCCTTAATACCAAGAAAAGGATCCCTAGATTAGCTCTCAAATGGCAAATTCAGAACTTTGTTTTCACTGCCATTGCAGTCTAATGACTGTACAATAACAAATGGTGCACACTTCAGTCCTTGCTACATGACAACCTGAAATGGCATAAGCAATGAATTCTAAATCCTATGTTCGTCAGGATACATCAGAGACTTAATGACCACAGAAAGCAGCAGAAAAGTCAAAAATGAAAGGAGATGTTCAACTACAGTTGATTATTAGAGTAGATTATCAAGCAGAAACTTAATAATTTAGTACCAAACTTTCAGAAGAGGTTTGAGGGGAGGCCTTGGTAAATCTCTAACAGGGATCCAGCAAAGAAGGATGGATAAGCACCAAAAGCAAGGCAGGGCTTAAATTAGAAAAATTAAAAAAAAAAAAAAAAAGTTGGAATTTCCCCTGGCTATGCACACATATGCCATACCAAAACAGGGAACCCAAATAATAAGTTGATGTGCAATTACTTGAAAATGTTATTATAACTGCTCCATGTTGGATGTACTTTGGTGGCCTCCATTTGGTGCAACTCACTTAGCAGCTGGACCAGAAGAGAATGGAATAATATGCAAGTACCCAGGCAGACCAAAGAATCCAGCTACACAGTTACACAGTAATGACACAATGCCAGTTTTCATTACAACAAATTCCTCTAATCCTCACGGTTGTAAAATAAATCTTAAAAACACATAGCAAGGTAATTTGCAAAGTAATGCGTGCCTGGGTCAAAAGACGGCCTCCAGCTTTCTAACCACCCCTGACGAGCTGGGAGCTCCTGTGCCATTCAGGGAGATCAGTACCTTGCTTTGGTTGTGTGACCTCACAGACAGATCCTGGCAGTTTGGTATATCCAAGTGTGATGCTTGTTCCATATAGGGAACTCCCAAGTATAGGAAGCCAGAGGGAATGTCATCTCAGTGGTATATGTGAATTCGGGGGTGAATTCCCCCCGAAAGTCCCTCTCTTCCACCTAATACTGATTTTCTATAGAACTTTAAATGACAGATTTAGGGTCTCCAGATCCTCCAAGGCCTAAATCCAGGTTTCCCAAAGAAATGCCTGGGTCTCCAGATTACAGCCTCGTGTCAGCTGTTTCTCTTACCTGACACAATAGAATTTACACAACTAGGGGAAAAAGCTAACATTTATAGAGAAACACTTTCTCAAGAGCTGGAGCAAGTCAGTGGGATGTATACACCCAAGAGCTAAGGGCCATCAGGAGCCCAACCAACCACATAGTGCTTGGAGAACAAAATACATGACTTTGACCTTGCCTCACAACTGTAAACACACAATACATATATTGAAAAAAAAAGACAGATAAACTCAAAATATTCAACTGCACATGCTCCTCCCCCTGGCAACAGGAGAGCAGATAACATGACAAATGCTGGCCATGTCATGTTACAGCAGTGAAAGACTCTCTGAGAACGTAATGACACTCTCTGAGTAGAAGTGCCTACAGTGGGGGATTGGCTCTGCCAGGAGGTGTGCAGGTTGTGCTTCAGTGAGGAATGTGTGAGGAAGGGATTGCAGCACAGAAACTGCAGCTCTGCCCTCTATTAGCTGCCACAGCAGACAGGACTTCCACCGTTCTGATGAGCCCACGTTATCTGGAATGGAAATCTGATCTAAAGAGCTGACATCGCTTTTGTTGAGGTTCAAAATCCCTCTCCCCTGCCTTCTGTCCTCAGCTGTGCCCCTGCTGTGACTCCTTGGCTTTACCAGTCACTGAGAAAACGAGCTGACAATCCTCTCCCAGATGCTGCAGCCAGAGAGTGCAATACCCACCTCGTATTGCAGGGGCTGTTAGACAACAGTGACTGCCCTTCCTCTCTGTTAAATATTTAACCATCCTGATCCTAAAATTATGATATTGTGCATTATTTAGCTTCAATCCCGGAGATACGGGCAAATGATGCAAACCGAGACTATTGCACTGGGTTTACGCTTTGTGCAGCCCTAAGTCATACTGAGAGCAGTGATTGTGTAATACGACTTCCAGCTTAAGTTTGGAACAGGGGCATAACGAAGCACAGAACCACACACAGGATTGGGCCTGCGTGTGTCTGCGAGCACGTATGGGATAGCAGCAGTGCAGAAACTTCACTGCCACTAGAAATCCTAATGAAACCTCAGAAAAGCCATTTGAGAGGACAATAGTGTGATCCGTATAAGAGAATACCACATCCTATCTGCTACATCTTATTTCTGCATCATGGCTGGGAAAAAAATGGGTGCAAATAGCAACTAGAATCACTTTCGGGCAAAACTATATGCAATCTAAATACAGACGAATGGTATCGGCAGCACTGTATTTTTTATATATTTTTTCAGTGCTCTAATTGCTATTTCTACCACCAAATCCTGCTTTTGTGGGCACAAAAAAAAAAAAAAAAAAAAAAAATCCAAGCCGTTGGCTGCCGTTCCTTTCAGTGCTTATTGAAAACTTCACTCGGGGCAGTTTTAATCAGCTAAGCCTGAAAGTGTAAATATACGGCCAATCATTTATACTCAAAAAAAAAAAAAAAAAAAAAAAAAAAAAAAAAAAACGTGAAGAAAAAACACTTTCTTTTTTTTTTTTTTTTTTTTTTTTTTTTATTCTTTTTTTGCTG